AGACGTGCACACCGGCGAGCGTCGGCGGAAGGCAGAACTCCGGCGGTGTGGTGTGTGTGGGCAGATGGCGGAGCCGGGGTGTGTGAGCGCATCTGGGCAGAGACAGATGCTGCCGGGTCAGGGTGTCACCAACAGGAAAGAGACACGGGGTGAGGCGCAGCAACTGAAAACAATCAGCAGGGCCTAGGGGACCAGAGCACACGCCATTGCTAGATGGAAGCCAGGTCCATCGGTGGGATTGTGGGATTCCGACAGTAGAGGGTACCATGATGGAAAGCTTGCTTGTTTTGTTCTGTTTGAGACAAGATCTCACTATGTAGCCATCCAGGCTGGCCTGAAAGTCCCAGCAATCCACCTGCTTGAGCCTCCCAAGTGCTGAGTCATCGAGGCAGACTTTTTATTTTGGGGTTGTTTGTTTTTGTAGTACTGGGAACCAAACTCGAGGCCTCTATAATGGAACCGCACCCCCTCGATCTGCTCCTTTTAAGTCAGGATCTTGGTAAGTTACCTAGACCGGTTTCAATCTCACAGTCCTCCTGCCTCCACCTCCCCAAGTAGGGGTTTTAGGATGAAAGAGAAGCTTCAATGGCATCAGCATAGAGCCCTCACCTCGCAAGGACAAGATCCTGGGTCCAGCTCCCAGTGTGAGGAAAACCCCTGGGACGGGTCATGGCAGCAATTCCAGAGAACAGTGTGGAAGGAGACGAAGCCTGCTCACCCACCTGCCGGCCTTCCGGACAGTGTGGCCGAGAGCTGTTACTGAGCAACATCCACTAACTCTCTGAAATATCTCTGGGCTTCCAGCACTCTGTTCCGATTTTTAAAAAAGCTTGCCCATTGCATTTATTCATTGTGTATGTGTACACGCATGTGCAGTGTGCGTGTGTGTGGTGTATGGAGGTCAGGGGACAATCTGAGGGAGTTGGTTCTCTCCACCCACCAGGTGGGCTCCGGGATTGAACTCGGGTTGTCAGGCAGCAGGCTCCTTTTGCCGCCTAGCCGCGTGGCAAACCCAGTTTGTATTTGCATGTCTGCTTTAAGTGTTTGAGAGAGTGGTGTGCGTGAGCGTGAGTGAGCTCAGGTGAGAGTGTGCGGTGCGACAGCAATGTGTGTGGGTAGGGGGCTGGGGATGGAGGCTCGGGTCACGCATCGGCAGGCGGGTGCCAGCCCTTGTCTGGTGTCCAGGACATTCCCACTGTTCCTGACATCCTGACAGGGCAGGTGTTGTGTCTGTCATGCTCATCACTTGTAAGTGAGAACAGGGCTTGCCATGCTCAGGGGATGCTCACAAAGTTGAGCGAATGGCAGAAATGCTGAATGTTGAACGAATGAATGAATGAACGAACGAACATATGAACGGGACAAAAGGTGATTAAGGTTCTCAGAGGCCTGGACGGTGAGGTAGAGATGGGTGTGAAGCCCTTCAGGGAAAGGGGTCTAGACAGGCTGTGGGTGAGGATGGAATGGAGCTGATGCCAGAGTTATGGGGGTAAAGGGCAGAGGACAGGTATTAACCTCACAGACACAACGATCTCCAGGAAGGCTGAGAAGTTAGAGGTGGCAAGCACTGTGGACCAGGCAGCAAGCCAGCACAACGAGCTGGCAAGGACAGCAACGGCAGAGGCCGAGGCCAAGGAAGCTGGCATCTGCAGACCCAGGCAGGGGGAAGAAGTCGGATTTCTGCAGCACGAGGGGTGGGGAAGGGTGCAGCCTCTCCTGATGGGGATCCAGGACCACAGAACCTCTGGGGAGGCCTGGTCCACTCCCAGGCAGAGGGGTACACTTTGCAGGAAGTTAGGGTGAAGGGGTTATGATAGCTGTGAAGGGGTCTCACAGGCAGCATGGGTAGCAGCAAAGAACTGGGGGGGGGTGTTGTGGCTACTGAGGGAAGAATGAACGCAGCTCAGCCAGGCACCCGACTGACCCCGTGAGGAGCCACCCAAAGCTGGAAGGAGCAAGAACTTGGGAGGGAAAGGCCACTCTCAAGTGGCATCTGTGGCCGCAGGAGTGTGTAGTGAAACTGCTCAGCCCCGGCAGGGAAAGGACTAGAAGGAAATAAGGAAACCCCGAACCCTGCTGCCTCTAGGTGGCAAATGTCACAGGTCTGTATTCCACAGCCTCCGGTCTCCACAACATACTGTGCCCATAGGAGACGGTTAAGTCCTCCACTCGGTCACTTCTCAGTGAGCCCGTTCATAATTGAGGCGTGCCCTGGGACAGAGCGGGGAAACGCTCGCTTTACTATTGTTTCTGTTGTTACAGAGAAAGGGTTTAATGAATAGGCCAAGCAGCCCTTGAACTCAAGATCTTCCTGCCCCTATTCCTGAAGCTGGGAAGTATTTAACTGGAAACGAAGACTGTTGTCTGTTCTCAACACTCCCTGGCTCTCCCCAGGCTGGCCAGGACTGCCTGTCCCATGCCTCACTCCCTGACCCTCCTCCTGGATAGCTGAGCGCAGGCAGCAGGCCCATCCCATGCTTGGGGCTGCACCAGGCACTGGAGAGGGAGCCCAAGATCTGGCCTAAGCTGAACCTGGTGACAAGTATTTAGCTTAATCACATTCTAATTGTGGGTTCACACAGCCTGATTACCTCAAATGCACTGTCTGCTTGAGGGAACAAACTACGGACTTGGGGAAGGCCATACCAAACCCCTAAGAGAGGGGGCCCTGCAGAATATATGATTAGGTGGGACACACCAGGGGAGAGTTGGAGAGAATCAAAGTGTGCGATGAAGGAACTTCTAAACACCCAGGATTTGTTCCTGGGGCTGGAAAGGCAGGTTCACACTGAGGACCAAGGTCTGTGACTAGCAACCAGAAAACTCGACCTGGCTGGCTTTGAATCCTGTGCCCACCAGCCCCAGGCTGCTTTGAGGTCTAGAAATAAAGGAGCAGCTTCCTGGAGGAAGGGGCAAGAGTGTCCCAGAGCTGACACAGCTGCACCTGAGGCTCGGCACCGGGATGTACAGCTGGGTGGGGACTCAGGGTGCCACTCCCCTACTGCCCTTCCAGGGGGAGGAAACCAGAGTAGGGCGAGGGAGGCCCTGCAGGGCAACAGGACGGAACAAGAGGGTGACAACAAACAGGGCCCAGTCAGCGGGGATGGCAGGGGATGTCAGGCACAGTAATGAGCTCCCCAGGGCCTCCTTGCACGAGCCGGGGGCTGTCACCACAGCAGCACCCGGAGGTGGAATGCAATTAGCCTAGAGCACCCAGCCTTGCCCAGCCTTCCCAATGGGGTCAAACTCCTGGTGAGACCACTGTGGTTGGAGCCTCAGCCCTTCAGGAGGCTGAGGCTGCACACTGCACACCAGCTAGACAGCGAGCAGGGCCCAGCAGGCCAAGAGGGCGAGGCAGCAAGATGAGTGTCTTCCCTGTCAATGCACGGCTAGTCCTGGTTAAGCTCCAGGCTGCCAGACACCCAGGGGAAATGAGCAGCAAGGTCAGCGTTGGAGCCACAGCGCTGACCTGCGTTCAAAGGGAGCCCTCTGTCGCCCAAGCTCTCTGGGTCCTCACCACACCAGGCTCAGCAGGGAAGGGTGGCATGGGCCAGCTCTGCCCCTGGGGAGCTCACCTCTAGAGGGCAGGCTCAGATAAACAGGCAATTACGGGGCAGGGTGGAGCAGCACATGCCCCTCCAGCCCCAGGCCAAGTCCCTGCGGCCCTGTTCAGAGTCAGGGCTGGCAGCTGCAGGGCTGAGGACCATCCTCCACCCAGAGAATGGCTCCAGTCTGAATCTTCTCCGGCCCTCGATGCCCACAGTGGACACAGCTTCTCTTGTCCTCCAGTCTGTGGGGCTGTCTAGCATGGACTTCCTGCCCTGGAAGCCATGGCAGTGGACTCTATCTGAGCACCACGGGCCCACAATTGCAGTTGCTGTGCCCTGACAGGGACACCTCCTGGGTGGCTAGGGCCCACACCGTGTGCAGGACCAGGGGAGGATAATAGAGTACCTGGCATGGTCTCGGCTTTGGCTAAGGACACAGCTCCCTCTGGTGGCGGATAGATGCCAAGGACAAGCCTATTCCTTGTGTCCTGTTTCATGAAAACCCTTCTTTTTTAAAATTCTTAAACTTATTGACTTGTGTATCAGGCGGCACATATGGAGGTTAGAGGACAGTTTGTGGGAGTGCGTGCTCTCCTTCTGCCATGTGGGTCCTACGGAACAAACTGTGGCTTGCTATCAAGGGCCTTTATCTGCTGAGCCAGCTCCCCTGCCTGAGACATTCTTATGTTGTACACGTAATAATTATTTGAATACAGGTCAGTGACTGAGATCCATCTATGCTACCCATACACTGCCAGGGGTCCCATAAGAACAGTATCATCTCCTCCTCCTCCTCCCCCTCCTCCTGCACCTTCCCCTCCTCCTCCTTCTCCTCCTCCCCCCTTTTCTTCCTCCTCCTCCTCCTCATCATGGCTTTCAGACTGGGCTTCATACACCCCGACTAGTCTTGAACTCACCATGTAACTGAAGATGGCCTCTCCTCCCCAGGAAGGTATTTATATTAAGTACTGTATTTAAGGCCTCCTGCCAAGTGCTGCCACAAAGGTCCAAGCGGCAGGTCCAGGACCCCTTCCGTCAAGCCCCAAATCTTTGCTCCTGGCCCAGAACATCAACAGCGCGAACCCAGGAATCAAGAAAGATCGGCCCAGAAAAAGACAGCGACTTGTCCATGGCACAGCGCAGTTCCTGAGTACTGAATGGGGTCCCCACACTGAGCATACCACAGGGCCGTGTGCACATTTCACTGGGAGATTCTCTGCTCCACGGACACTTGTCCCTCAGAGCGGAGGAGACACATCAGAATCATTTCGGGAGTTACTCTGATGATCCCAGGCTAAACAGGCGAGGAAAAGCCAATCCGCCAACTATGATGCTCAGCCCATCCCAGCACCAGGCTTTAGGAAGTGCCTCACTGACGCCACACCTGTCAGGCTGCAAGCGCCATGGGCTGTTTGGATAGCCCCTGCACCGCCCTCCCGTCCTGGGGCTCACCTTTTGCCAGAGTGACTCTCGGGAGGCGAGTGACGAGCAGGCCGCCACAAACCAGCAGTTTCCCACCTGGCCCTGGTGCAGGTCGTGGGAGCTGATGCCATCCACAAAGAGCCGGGGATCATCGCAGATGTCCTGTGGAGAGGGAGGGGAACAGCATGAGGGCCTGTGGGAACAGGTACTCCTCCAAGGCAGGAAGGAGATTCTCCGCTTGGTGGAGCTTCACCTGCCCCGGCTCCCACAGAATGGGAGACATAGAGCCAACCGAACCCCAACCCCAGCCTCCCCAACCCCTTTCTACTAAGGCGTGCTGCTGAATGGTGGCTGAGGAGCTGGGCCCAGGCCACCATCTTCTTGCCTTGAGCGGAGCCCCCTGTCCAGCCAGCCCCTGAGACCAGCCACGGTGCAATCAGGCGACGACCCCCAAGGGGATTCATGATGAGCACAAAAAGGAACTTCTCAAAGTGACGGGGTTGAGGTCTGGAAGCTCAGAGAAGAACATGGACTTGTCAGAGCACAGGACCCATGAACACTCAAGTGGGGCAGAAATTCTTTTGATTTTCCATGGAGACTGGCGGGTATGGCTGTGGGGGCACAGGGCATGCTAGGAAGAGGGCTGGGGCAGCTGCTGGGCAGAGTCACGGCCTGCAGTACTCAGGCCCAGCCCCCGCCCTAGTTCCTGGCAGCTTGCTCCAGTTTTCCCACCTCTCCACTCTTCAGGCTTGGCCTTAAAGGCCCCCAGGGCAGAACTGTGGAGTGGGAAGAGAAATTTCGGCTTCTGCACCGAGAGACACCATCTCTTAGCACTGAAAGCATCTGAAAGCTCCCTGCCTCCCACAAGGTCTGACCCTGCCCAGGCTGGAGCTGGATGCTGGCTGAGGGAGCAGAGAGCAGCATAGCTCAGCCGAGGAGAGCAGCCAGGCACACAGTCACAGCCCCCTCAGAGCCTACTACTCCCATGTGGGACAGGCTGCGGCAGGGCTGAGGGGTCCCCTCCCCGCCCAGATTAAGTCTCTTCAGAGCTTCTCAGGGTGTGTCTCCTTCCAGCAGGCCTACCAGGCCTCCTCTGCAATCAGTGTCTATCTCCACAGAGCTGAGAGGATCTGAGCTGAGGAGGTGAGAATTGGTGAGAATTCCAGGAGGGGAAATCACCAAGACACAGCCTTATAGCCCAGACATAAAGCTGACACCATGACCTGACCCCGCTGGCCCCAGGCACCGAGCAAGTTGCCCATTTCACAGACAGGAGGTGGAGTGTGATGTCTGTGATAATAGCCATTTCCTCTGGGCTTGACAAGATCATCTCCATCTTAAAGCCAAGCAGCTGTGATGACCCATGAGCTCAGGCCGATTCACATTCCCTTGGGCAGGGGCCTCGGAGAGAGGCTCACTTGCCTCATGAAGCTCAGAGGCCCTGAGAGGTCAGCACAGCATCCTCCCGGGGCTCCCCACCCCCAGTCCTGACTGTAATTGCTGCTCCCTAAGGTAACATTTGGCTGGGATGGGATTCCCAGATGATGAAGCTGCCTAGAGTGTCCCTGCCCCTGTAACTCCATTAAACTCATCGGTTTGGCTTGGACAAATTCCTTTCTTTGATCTGCCCCATGCCTTCTCTATGGGGTGAATGGAAGTTTCTTCATATCTGTCATACACTCAGTGGCCCCCAAAACAGAGAGCAGACAGAACCAAAGACAAACTGGGGTGGAGTATCTGTGGGAAGAATTCTAGGAGTGACATGCCTCCCTAGTGGAGGTGACAGCTGCATGGGAAAATCAGGCTGAGGCAGCCCCACCAGGGGAAACCCTGGGTAATAGGTCTGTGTGAAAAAAATAATAATAATTTAACTTTTAAATTAATTAAATTATTCTTAATTCTTAATTTTATTTGAAAATGTATTTTTAAATAAGCATTGAGATATTCACTTAAACAATATATTAAATTAATTAACTTAGTACCATTCCTTTGCATGGTATCCATGTTGCATGGGACCCGCATGCCTCCAAAGCAGTAGACGGGCTGGTTAGAGACTACACTGAAATCTCTGAAAGTGGCACATGTGGGACGGGATTGTAAGGAAGCTGTGGTGGCAGCTGCCCTGGCTAAGAGGGACAAGACAGGCGACCAAGGCTGAGCTGTCTGCCCAGAGGAAACTGGCCGCTGAAAGGAAGAGAAAGAGGCAAAGTCAAATCTGTTCGGGAGTTCCTGGATGGCTTCAAGCCGGAACGATTGTTCAGCAAAGGGGTGAGTGACAGGCAGGCGCAGTGCTGCCTAGGGAAAGGGGTTGCATGGCCGGGATCCCCTGCAGGCAAAGGCCAGCAGAACGACCAGAGGCCCCACAATGAGCCGGGGGGCTTGTCTCCCTGACTCACACAAGATCTGAGCTTTGGTGGATGGTGGCATACCCTCTGACAATACGGGGGTGAGGGTGGGAGTAATCGGGACGTAGAACCGTGAAGTTGAAAAAACATTGAGAGTAAACTCGTTCTGAGCGGGCTGTAATTAACACCCACTCCAGATTCAACTTTCACATTTCTCCCCAGCTGGTGTGCTGCTGGGGCTGTGCTGAGGGTGTGTGAGGCTACAGAGCGGAAAGATGATTCACTTAGTCTAAAGCCATTTCAGTAGCCAGGTACCGTAGGCAAAAAAAGAAAAAAAAAAAAAGGCTCATGGAAAATGAGTATGGGTTGCAGAGAGCCAAATGAGCGAGAGTCTTCATCACAACATTGTTCCTTAAGTTAATTAATTAACTTAGTGTCATTCCTGTGTGTGCATGTCCATGCATGATACCCATGCGTGACGGAGCGCATGTGTGTGCTGTCACTTGTTTGGAGGCCAGAGGACAACTTTCATGTACTCAGTTTTCTCCTCCCCTCTTTACTTGGGTCCCAGGGATCAAACTCAGGCCCAGCCACAACTAACAATGACTTTATTGGCTGAGCTGGCTCGCTGGCCCCACCCTTGCTCTTTTAAAGGAGCCGTCGTCGCATGTGGTGGCATCTCTTCACATTGTATGGTCCAGGAGGTTTCTGTTTGCTCTGCCTTGATATTATTATTTGATATTATTTGTTTTGCTTTGATCCCTTAGCTGATGAGCCCCAGATCAATTTGTGTTTACTTGAAATGGATGCAGAGGGCCTACGGAGAACCTGCCAACCTCTGTGAAAAGATTTCATTATGTTACACTTGCCTCTAAGCATCAATCGGATTTCGGATTTAGAAACACCTCTGAAAGCGGGGCAAGCGCATCTGCAGCTCGGAGGATGGCAAGCGCAAGGAGCATGCCCAGCTGTGAAGCACTGAGAGCCGCTCCCACCTCCCACCCTGAGATCCTCACCACTACAAAACCATCTCCTGCGCTGAGACCTCTTAGGGGCACAGCCACACATGGTCCTGTAAGTAGCCTCATCAACTCGCTGGTTCCCCCGGGGTGGCCTAAGGCAGAGCCCTTTCTTTGGTTTATCAGTGCCCTCTCTATCCCCCCAGGAAAAGTCACACCCCAATGTCCCAGGCACACAAAGGGAGCTAGAAGCCTCAGCCTGTTTTGGAGTCTCTAGGTTTGTTTTCCAGCTCACGAGGCCGCACAGCTGCTGAGGCGCTTTCACACGCAGCCAGCAGAGGGCAGGAGAGCCTGGAAGGCAGCACCCAGTTCCTGCCCGCCACGTGCTGGAGATGCACACACCGGCCAACACCCCTCCTCTCAATACCTTCACTTCCTACAGCGCTCTGTGTGGCTTCCACAGACGGTGGTGATGGTGGTGGTGGAGCATTCTTCAGGGGGAAATGGCATAACGGGATCTTGGTAAGGTGTTTGGGACTCAACGAAAACAAAACCGAATTACAGGGCCAGGAAGAGTAATTCCCCTGAGGCACTAGCTGAGAGAGCTTCCAGCTGGGGCTATGGGGGAGCCAGGGGCAAACTGCATGGTGGCTTCTCCAAGGCACTATCTGTGCCCTGCGATCTCTGATCAGAGAAAACCCAGTCAGGGGACCTGCTTCTTGTCCCCAAGGTCACTCTCAGGAAGCTCAGGCCGGAAGCTCTGCCAGCCCCGCTTCCTCCTAACCTTATCTTCCAGCCAACTGCACCCACCCAGCTTCTCGACACCTGCAGTGGAGTCCCCCCCCCCCATTAAAGAGGAAGGATGGGAGTGGGGCTTCACATCTAGAGCACCTGCTGTCACTAAGGCTGCAGAGGGAGCGGACCTCAGTGTGCTCGGCTACCTCAGGTCCTCCCGATCAGTACCCTGTGACAGACAGGACACCCACTCCAGATGAGGCAGAGATGTCCAAAGTCAAGCACAGCTGAATGAGCACACAGGGCAGAGCAGGTTGGCCGAGCTCCCAGCCTGGGCTCTCCCTGCCACTACACAGCTGTACTTGGCTCTGGACCCAGGACACCCTCCCACCATGGCCACTCAGCCTTGGGAAGAAGACTGGGAGACATGGAGTCCAGAGTTCAGCTTCCATCCCATCCCTGAGCATCCCGCCTGCACCTGAAGCCTTGAGATCATCAGCTCTGACTGAGGATAGCGCTGAGGTTGCTGGCATCTGGGAGCTAGACACTGCCTTGAGTCATCTCTGAGAAAACATCACAGAAGCAGCTGAATCCCTGCTGGGGCAGGAGCAGAGCCCTGAGAGCAGGGTACTCCTGACAGCTCTTTCACAGACAAGGACATCAAGGCACAGAGAAGCAAGGCCACTTCTCGGGAGCCACACAGCAGGATGAGCTCAGATTCAGACTCAGCAGTATGCTCTGCAGCCTCTCTCTGGGTGTTCTGGGTCCTATAAATGACGAAACTACCCTTCCTTGTGTGTCAACAAGACTAGGGAGGAAGAGATGACTAAGCCCTGCCCACCGCTGTCAGCCAGTGTTTGCCTGTCCTGACACTGAGCACAGTGAGCTAGAGCCAGGCCCCCCTACGGGCAGGCTGCTGGAAAGGGCAGGCCAGGTCTGCACCTGCAGGAGAACAGAACAGTGATAGCATGAGACCAGCGAGGTGAGAGAGGCTTCAGAGCAGGTGTGGGGAGGACTGGTGGGCGGGAGCTTGGGAGGACAAGGACTCCCAGATGCCCTGAAATCAGGTCTAGCTACAGCCACATGCTCTCTCTCACACACACACATACACTCAAACATATACTCCCTACGCATACATACACACACCCTACACAAATACACTCAACATAAACCCCCTACAAACACATACACACAGACCCTACACAGATCCTACACACACACCATATATACACACACCCTATCCACATCCACACACCCTGTAAGACATACCCTACATACACATACACACACCCTACCCCCACACACACATACTTCCTACACATACATATACACACACCCTACACTTAACACACACACACACACACACACACACACACACACACACACACACACACCACACACAACCTACCTTACTGCCAAGCCATGCACCTTCCAGCCCTGTCCATTTCAGCTTTCTAATGGCGGCTCTAAAAGACTGTTTAATTATTCCAGGAAATCCCTCTGGCTGCTGAAGAGAAAGTCCCTAGAGATCTGCTAGCTCCTCGGAAAGACACCTCTCACCAATCAGACAACTCATCTGCATATGCAGATTTCCTGTCTTGCTCGTGATGTAATGCCTCAGCAGGCAAGGCCAAATCTGCAAATGAGTGTATAACCTTTGGTCAGTTCCTGCCTCCTGGATCAGATTGTGCACTAACCCTGGGACAGGCTGCGACACTGGGCACCACTTTGCCTGTAGGTGCCTCTACCCTGACAAAGGAGGAGTTGGCCACGGGGAAGCAAGCTGGAGACTATCGATGGGGCATGGAGGGATGACAAAGTGCCCTAGACCCGGACTGCACAGGGCCTGCTGTGAGCCCTGGATTGAACCACCCTCCAGGCTGGGGTTCCGCTTCCCTGACCAGCATGCCTCCAGGGCAGAGGCTTCTGAACCTGTAGTCACCTCAGCCAGTTAGACCTGCTGGCCCAGATTTGACCAGGCCTGAGCCACCCCCTTCTGGCTCAGCAGGAAATTCAGGTTTTCAGCTGGTGCAGAGCCGGGAGCACAACCAGGAAGGTGATGGGCAGAAGAGCTGTGTAGCTATGCACACCTGTGGGGGCACACCGCCTGTTCTTTTCCTCCCTCTAGCCCCCTCCTGAACCTAAGAGCACAGAAGGAATGGCCACTGCAGGCCCTTTCCCTGGGACATAACAGAAAAGTCACAGAGCATGGCGCCTCCTCTGCCGCTGCCCCTCCGCCTTCCCCATCTTTCACCAGCAGTCTGGCCCTGTTTCCTCTAATGTCCCTCTGCTTCCTCTAATGCCAGGGCCTTCCCTGATGCTCTCAGCAGAATAGGGGCAGGTTCCCAAGAGGGCCGGCTCTACGCAGAGCAGAGGCCTTCCTATAACAGGCCAAGTGGTCAGCACTCTGAGAGCGGTGCCTTTCCCAAAATGAGCATGACCGCCCGGGCAGGGGGGGACATCAGGCTGCTTCAGGGAATGCTGGGGGTTCCCAAACTGACAAATGTTCACAGGGCTCCTACCTGCTCCCATGCCTTCTATCCAGAACCCCCAAGCTGATGCCCAGACAGAGGGAAGGCAGACAGCTTGAGGGGAGGGGATAAATAGCTGTAGTCCCCAGTCTGAGAAACAAAAGTGGCTTCTAGGAGCATCCCTGGCTCCTAGAGGCCCCCGCCATTACCTCCCCATCCTCTAGCCAGCAGTGAGGAAGGCACCCGAAGTCCCTGTACAGAAAAGAATACAACAGGGGCCTAGAGGGGGTAGTAAGACGGATGCCAAAGGGGGTGAGGCCTGGTGCCACGGGCGAGTGAATGGCAGGATACCAGGCCAGCTCTGGTTCCCACCATGGGGCTGGCAAGCAGGAGGAGGGCAGCTCGGTGCTGCCTTGTGAGAGGGACATGCCCAGCACCCATCTTCCAGAACGCACTCTGCAAGAATTATTCTCCCCACGTAAAGATAGGCAACTGTGGCCTAGGGAAGGAGGTGCTCTGCTCAAGGTGACACCTGACCTCAAGAAGGCACCTCAGGCTGGAACCAAGCCCAGCTGGCTCTTCCTGATATTTGGGGAGAAAAGAAGGCAAGAGGAAAGGAATCCAGCTGATGAAGCTGGGAGGCAGAGAGGAAAGGAAGGCTGGCTCTCAGAGGGTAGGAAGCCTGGGAGCTAGGAGGCAACGAAGCTAAGGAGCTAGGGAGCTGGGGAGAGAAGGCTGGGAGGCAGGAAGGGTGGAGGGACTGAGAGACTGGGAAGCTGGGAAGCCGCAGGCTGGGAGGGTAAGAGATAGGGACACTGAGCGGCTTGGGGACTTGGAGGCTGTCTAAGGAGAATCTCTAAGAACAGAGAGGTCACCATAATGAGCACCTCAGAGAGAAGTGCCTGGAAGTGGAATCAGAAGGAGCTGTAGGGAAAACAGCCTTTTGCTCTGCTTACAGTCTGTCAGGCCCTAGGACCTGGAAAATAGGACCTCTCAGCACAGCTGCCTCAGGCCAGTCTTATCTTTGGCCAAGCAGCTGGGCATTAACGGTCAGGGGCTGGCCAATCCACTCCTGACCCAGGCTGCTCCACTTCCTCCACTGTAGACCCTCCCCTCCCCCTCCACTTAAGCCCTTCACATACTACCCATGGGATCTCCTCTGCCCAACACACTGCCCAGTGGACCCAGGCCTGACCTGCCTCCTGACCAAGACTGAAGCTGACTACTGTCCTTCAGGCCCCGCTCTGATATCCCCATCCGTGCCAACCTCACGGGATGTGACCTAGCCAAGGCTGGAAGTTCACCCTTTCTCTTCAGCCACAGCTAGAAAGGCAGCTGGACGGGTGCCAAGGAGGGAGGGTAAAGGAGCTAAGACTCCTGAACCCGAGGAAAAGGGCTCCTCGAGGGCAGTGACTCCGTCGGGTCACACAGCCGTGGCACATTCAGACACCATTCCACACAGCCTGTGCTACGAAGCCCGGGACCTCATGAAGCCCATTCCACACTGTGGTCCACGGTCTTAGGAAGAGGTCAGAGCAAGGACAGTGTGTGCTGGGTGAAGCAGCAGGAGGAGACCAGGTATCCACCCTTCCCCCTGGGAACTAGGATCTCACCAAGGCCCATCAGAGCTGCTTTGTTCCCCACTCCTTGATGAAGCATGTTTGGTGTCAGCCATCCCTCTGTCTCTACCTGCTGCAGGGCATGGCTGGCATTCCCTGCCCTCTACCCTGAATTCCCTAGCCCAGGGCCTCTTCACTATATGATCCGAACATTTTGGTGCCCTTCTCTTTCGCTCTCTATCTCTCTGCTCTCCTCTCTCTGTATCTCTCCTCCTTTTCTCCTTCTCCTCCTCTCTCTCCTCTCTCTGCACATGACCCTCCCCCTCTCAGCAGCTGAGAGCTGCTTCCAATAAACCTACATTTATATATTATAACTTGCCATTAGCTCAATCCACTGTTTCCAATCAAAGCAAACGGCAGAAGGCATGGGAGAATAGAGCCAAAGTCCCATTGCTGGGTCAGAGAAGGAAGTCAGGGTTAGAAGCTCCCCACAGCCCCAAAAACTGAGGCCAAAGAACCCAGGGCCCTCTACCCGGTGTCAGGGAGGGGCCAGGGGCAGGACTCCTGGATGGGTGGTCCCTTCTCTTCTTGGCCTTCCCTGACAAGAGCTCCAGTTCATAGCAACGCCAGAGGTTGGCTGTTGGGAAGAAGCCTGAAGGTGGGATTTCATTTTCTCCAAATGTCTAAGGACCAGAGAGACTGGACAGTACAAATCTGAAGGCCACATGCTGCTGGAGGCAGAGGTTTACACGGCCCCACAGGCCCTCAGAACTGACACGCCAGGTACAGGAGTGGGGGAGGGGGTGCTCCATCGTGTGCCCCACGTCCCAGCTGCCCTGTCACTGCCAGAGGGAGCCTGAGACCCAAGCCTGATAGGCTTTATGTGACGACACCTTCCCCACTGGCCTCACCCTGACGCCAGAGGTGCCCTCTCTGGGAACAGGGCAGGGAGGAGGCTGGGCGGGCAGGAGGCTGTGACGATCTGCCCAAGTGACCCGGAGGAGCCTGGTTTCCCATGCAAGTCCCCTGTCACCTGCATAGTGGTGGAGCCTGGAATGGGTCTGGGCCAGTGTCCTGAAGCACCCCGCCTCCACCTGCGCCCCCGGAACCCCACTCCACCGAACTCCTCTGCCTACCACACACACAGGACTCAGAACAAGTCATGCCACGGGACCAGCTATTTCTGCTTGGCATGCAGCTCTTGGGCTCTAGACCAGGCTGGGAGTTGGGAAGGCCTCCAACACTCAGAGCGCGGGCTGTACACTGGCCCTCTGCGTTCCATCCGTGTACCTCGATGACAGTACAGGCTTCCACCCCTTCAGGAAGCGACTTTTTATATCAGCAAAGTAAACTTGCCCTCACACATGACTCTACATATGCACACAGCGCCCATTCACAGTATATCTCCCTCTCCCCCAGATGACCATGGCATCGAGCAGAGGCCTGAAGTACCCTTGGTCCGAGAGTACTCCATGCCTTAGAGGACCTGCCTGGGCAGGATCAGGCCCATTCTCCCTGGGCAGGAGGGCCAGACACTAACCTTAGGCCGCTTCCACCTGACTGTGGGGCCTGGTGTGCCCTTATAATAGAGTGAGTCATCGGTGGCCGGGAAGTGGGGGTCCTCAAAGAGCACCTTCCTGCGCAGACAGGCCCGCTTCAGCGCCGAGTAGTTCTGGTCCTCATAGGCCTTCACACAGGAGAACATGGTGACCACGTCCCCCAGAAGGGGCGGCACCTAGAAGAGAGGAGGACGAGAAGACCATCAGTCATGGGCACCATAAGTCCCTGCTGAGCTCTGACCCCCAGATGTGCTGCTCTCCCAGCGACATTCCAATCATGCAGGAAGGGAAAGGTAGTACAGAGACAGGCAGAGGTCTGCCCAGGTCACACAGCTAGTACCTGCTACAGCGCCAGCAGATGACAGGAGTGTACTGCCTGCCTTGGCAATTAAGAGTCTCTCCTTTCTAGTGTCTGAGAGGCAAGTCAGGCCCTCAGGCCACCAGTGCCCGATGTCCAGGCCTGGCTCAGGCCACACCCACCTCACTCTCCCTGTCTTGTTTAGCCAGTCCTCCCCACCTCTCTGGGGCTGAGTTTGTGGCCAGTGTCACACCCACAGGACTTAGCCATGGGTATCTCAGAGCTTTCTTCCTGACTCATTCCTGCCCAGTGGAGGAGAACCGGGCCACAGGTTGCTCCCAGCCGTCACTCTGTCCCCACCTCAGCACTCTGTGTCCTTACACCTAGGGAGGGAGCAGGCTCCAGGCACATGGGGCTCTCTTCACTCATCAGGGGCTCAGGAGCTTGCCCTACACACTGCTTTACACACTGACCAAGTTCAAGGGACGCACACTGCACCAATGTGGCCAGGGGAGGCCCCAGGAGGCAGGGGTTGGGGCGAGGCCACAGTCAGTGAGGTGTGACCCATCAGGAGTGTTGGCAGGGGTCTGGTCTCTCATACTCCATCTTCAGCCTCTCCAAATCTACTCCTCCTGGGGCTCACCAGAGACAACACTTGTTGCCTTATTAAGGTTCAGGCTGGCCACGAGGGAACCTGAGGCAGAATTCTTAGTGTGGTTTTCCAGCAAAGTCTGATAGCAGGACTTATGCAGACACGGATCCTGACTGAAGTACTCATCTGCTGAGTGACTGTGGAGAAGTCTCTCAGCCTCTTTGAGCCCCTTTCATTCATCTCTAAGACGGGAACAAGGTTGCTTCAGTGAGAGAATGACGTCATTACAATCAGCTAGAGGCAGAGGGTGGAGGAAAGAGAGCAAAGGGGTCAAGTCTCCTCTCATCCCAAAGAGATTCCAGTTCTCTGGCACCCACCACGTGCAAGCCCCTGAGTAAGAGGTTTGTGTCCACTGTTGACAGCAATGGGGGGAGGGGGGGGAAACACTGTCGCCATCTTCACAATGTGGGCCGAGGCTCTGCGAGGTGAGGCACTTACCCATGTTCCCATGGGGGCAGTGAACTGGAACCCAGGTCCTCGGGTTGAGGTGGCCCACCTTGGCCTCAGGAGCTAGGCAATGGCAGGCAAGTTCCCCACACAACCCTCAACTGAGCCGTGGCTCAAGGGAAAGGAAGACATAGCATTCTCCAGGGAAGGGTAGGAACGAAATGAAAAGGTGACATTAGCTCATGTGGACCCAGAAGAACAGCAAGGAGGGCCACTGTCCCACTGGCTGAGGGTGGGCAATGTCTTGTACTGTATCTACAGCCAGTACACTCACTTGGGGTTGCTGTGTGACTCAAGCCAAAACATTTAACTTCCTGGGTCTGGCTCTGCCCAGGGATCTCAGTCTCCTCTGGCCCTAGGCCTCCCTCAGCCTTGGAGCCCTAGGGAAAGAGAAAGTGGAGGCTGGAAAGCCACAGGGCCCTAGGCACCAAGCAGGCTCATTAACCTGCAGGCTCTAGCAGCCTGGCTCAGGAAGCAATTTAAGCCTCAAAAATTAGATCAGGGAGGCGAGAAATCAGCTATTGTGATTCCAGTATTTCAGATCCCAGAGAGCCCAGAGAGGGGGAGCAAGCTGGCTGAGATCACACAGCCAAGATGACAAATGGGGCTTCTGGCTGCCCTCCAGGTCACAGAAAGGATCTGCCCTCCCAGGAAGAAGAGACGGGGCAACCAGAAGATACTGGGTGGGGAGGGGTCGAAGTGGGCAAGGGAGAAGGGCTCATGGGTAAACAGGAGTGGGCCACATCTCTGTCATCCCCCCTCATCCCTGCCAGGCAGGCTGACCCTGGCCACTTTCGGGGTTCTTCCGGGACCTGGCCTTTATGTACTCAGCCCCCATGCACCCTCCAAGAGATTGCACCACATAGTTCAACATGGGGTCCAGAGGCTCGAGGGATCACAGACTGCAGCCTCTCCCCGTAACTCCAGGCCCTGTCTCAGAAAGCAACCTACAAACTAGAAGGCAGGAAACCCAGATCCACACGCCAGCCTCTCTCCTCAGGCCTGTGCTCCAGGCGTGATCACCTCTGGCCATCAGTGTCCTTAGCCCGTGCTTGAGCTGACAATACCCCGTGTAACATAAAGGACAGGCTGGGCCCTCAGCTGTCTGATGTTCACTTGATTCCCTTTCCCTGCCAATCTCACCCCTTCCATCCTTTATCCAGTGCCAGGCATCTCTTGCAGGTCCCGCAAGCAGTGAGCTCGGGGTATTTGCATATGCCTCTCCTTCACAATCCTGCCCTTGCCTTGGCCACCTGGAGCACCCAGCGACCATTTTCCCAGCCCACCCACTGAGGACAGGGCCTACATCAAGGGCCTCTGCATGCCCACTACCAACAGTGAGGCGCTGGGACTCGGTAACCATCGAGACAGAGTTGAGTGTAGCAGGAACGCCATCCCGGGTGCAAAGAACAAGCTCAAGAGAGGTGGGGCCGGTGCTGGGGAGGTGGCCCAGTGGTTAGGAGCACTGGTTACCCTTGCAGAGGATAGAGGTTCAGTTCCCAGCACCCCCGTGGCAGCTCACAATTGTAACAGGAGATTCAAAGCCCTCTCCTCTGGCCTCCACGGGCACCAGGCGTGCACACAGCACCCAAAGACGCAGAAACAAACAAACAAACAAACAAACAAACAAACAAAAAAAACAAAACAGCCATACACATAAAAATAAAACAAGATAGAGGAGGGGTGGGGCTCTAAGGGAAGCTGCTCTCTGTCAGCATTCAGGCCATCTGGAGCCACCCACCGCGCTGCCAGGCCAGGCATCCGTTTGCCTCCTGACCTTCCTGATGGCTGCATGCCAGCTGGGGCCCACACCCCACTGCCCAGGCTGAGCTGGCCACAGCCCTGCCCTTCAGCCGCTGTGACTGAGCCTTGGTTACGGGGCCCCTGGGCTGGACTCGCTGGAGGCCTACCCAGGTCATGTAGCCTACAGGGTCTTTGTCAGAAATAAGAGCCTCTGGAAGAAGAAAGAGTGGAGCCAGGACAATCAAAGAGCCAGAGGACAGGCTGAGCCGGAGCCCAACAGCAAGAGCATTCAAAGGGCCAAGAAGAGCCGAGGCCGTCAACAGAGGCCAAGCTAGAGGAGCCGCACCCAGGTCATGCAGCCCTGTCCTAAAGTTCTGGTCACTGAGCCACCGCCAGGGTAGACAAACAGTCGTGGACTGGAATAGAACGGCACAGGCTTCACGGCCCGCACGTGTAAAGACACCTGATTCATGGCTTGGTGCACTGAGGAAAGCACATTGTTTCGATGAACGGTGAGTCACCTGCTCTCCACACGACCCCACCTCGAACTGCACAGAACTAACCCCGAGAAGACGGCAGTGGACCTCCAGCCCTGGGGCTGCCAGCCACCAGCAGAACGTTGCTGGAGAACTGACTCAGCAGTTAGGAGCCCCTGGTGCTCTCAGAGGACCCAGGTTTGGCTCACGATCACCTGTAACTAACTCAGTTTCAGGTGATCCAGTTTCCTTCTTGCAGCCTCCACGGACACTAAGCACATTCGTGGTGTACAGACATACATGCAGAGGAAACACGCATACACCTAAAATAAAATAAAACTAAAAGAAACAAAAACAGCACAAGGTGAAAGAAAGGACGACTCCTAACACCCAGCAACTAGAAGGGAAAGTGCTGGACTTCACCAACCAATCGGCAAGAAAGTGCTAGTTAAAACCATGGCAAGAGAACAGTGTGTCCCGCTAGAGAGGCCAGAGTAAGAAGCACCAGGACACGTGTGTCCCAAGCCCAAGCGCAGGCTGGGTTCTAGGCTTGGCAGCACAGGGTGGGCCAGCGTGCGAGAAGCCCCGGGTTCCACCCTCAAAAACCAATCAGTGACCCTCCAAGCGGTGCTCTGGCGGCTGGAGGGTGGACATGTGCAGTGACTCTGCAAGGCTGCTCGGGCCCCTGCCGGGAAGGGCCAACACGCGTTCCGCTGCCTAGTTAGTTCACCCTGAGACTATACTGATCATATCCTGCAGAGTCACAAGACTGTTTAGCACAGATTTCTTCATAAAGATTTCTTTATAAAGCTGTGAACTCCTGATCCTCCTCCTTCAACTGCCCACGTGCAAGCGTCCCAGACATGTCAAACCCCGAGCCAGCGCAGTAGAATCTGGAGTGTTAAAAATCAGAAACTATTCAAAACTCATCAATAAAGGCCTGGGAGAGAGGTTTTGTTGTTGCTATCTGTTTAAATAATAGAAAACAAACCCACAGTTGTACGGAGCCCACGGATGACGGAGCCCACGGATGGGGCTCACAGGCATGGCATTAAATGACATTTCGACATGATTTCATTAGATCAAACCGAAAAGCAGGGCCAGCTTGCCCTGATACCAAAGCCAGAAGGAAAGTTACAGGCAGGCTGGAGAGGAGGCTCAGAGGTCAACGGCACCTTTTGCTCTCTCAGGGGCCTTGAGTCCTATTCCCAACCGCCTACAACTTCAGCTCCAAGGGATCTAATGCCCTCTTCTGTCCTCTTCAAGCATTGCACTCAAGTGCACATACACCCACATATACATCATAAAAAGAAAGAAAGAAAGTTACAGGTCAGAGGTTCCTGAGGAGCGTAGACACAGAGAATCCAGACTCCAGCAGCACAGTCAGTTACTGTGTCCTCAGCAGGGCCAGGAACTGCACTGCACAGCACCTGAAGAGGATGCTCTCTAATGCTGTGGCTGGGGACAGATTGGCTCAGTAGTAACAGTGAGCTGGGTGTGGCGACTCCCACTTGCGATCCGAGCCCTGGAGATGCTGTGGCACCCAGAACCACCAGCCCA